TTGATATTTCACAAAGCAAGACAATCTTCCATCAGGTTTAATTTACAATGACTTCAGTGGAATATACTCATTCTTTTCAAAATCTCAAGTTAAGCATTCCCTAAACCCATATAAGAAGGTGAGTGAAGTTGGAGCATGGTGGTACGAGCCTGTAGTCCCAGCAACCTGGGAGGGTGAGGTGGGAGGACTGCTTGAGCCCAGGAGTTGAAGGCTGCAGTGAGCTATGACTGCATCTGTGAATAGCCAATGCACTCCAGCCTGTGCCAAAGAGCAAGACCCCATCTCTAAAAGTAAAAAAGAAGGTGAGTCAAAGAGTAGAGTGCCTTACCATGGCAATATAACTGTAACTGAGTACGATTTCTCGGATCTTCCTCATCTCTTCTTCTAGATTACTGGCCCACACTTCACAGATAACCTGGCTATTCTCCACAAGTGCTGCAGGCATCCTGAAGAAACCTGAGAAGTCGTCTTCAGCTAACTAGTTTTAGAGTGCAAGCCAGACAATGTTTGATCTGATCTAGATTTTAAAACATTTTAAATTCATGTAAGTTTACACACACATAAGATGTCAACAAAACAAATACATCAAAATATTTTATAATCACTTCATTAGTTAAAAACATTAAAATTATATTTTTTGTATGATGGGGAAACTTTGACACACACACACACACACGCACACACAGTTCTTTCTTGAAGAAACTGGTTACTGAAACTTCTGCCCATGCAGTCCTCTGCCACAGAAGTGAAACCACTACCCTAAACTAGTTGTTCAGCCCTCTGTAGACTACCCAAAGACTAAAATAATCCCCAGTTACCAGAAATAGCCCTGATCCTGGACTTTCACTTCACTTTACAAATCATGAAAACAGTCCTCCTAAAGGAATCATCTTAGCTATTTTCAGTGTACCTGGGATCTCTGAAAGCCTGAAAGAACATGGATCTAAACTCCCACACTCCAGCCTTTGTATCCAAATGATGAATACAGGCAAGGGATTCTTCCCCCATCCCACAAAAGGAAATTATTCTTCTCTGCAATCCCAAAGTCAAATACAACGAGAGGCAATGAACAATATCAGTACCTCTTTAGATTTGTGTAAACAGAGCATGAAGTGAGGGATTTAAGTGGTAATAAACAATCCCACTTGCTAATTTGAACCCCAAAAACCACAACAAAAATCAGAATTTAAATATTTACTTTTTTTTTTTGAGATGGAGTCTCACTCTGTTGCCCACAATGGAGTGCAATGGTGTACTCTTGGCTCACTGCAACCTCTGCCTCCCAGTTTCAAGTGCTTCTCCTGCCTCAGCCTCCCAAGTAGCTGGGACTACAGGTGCACACCACCACACCCAGCTAACTTTTATATTTTTAGTAGAGACGGGGTTTCACCATATTGGCCAGGCTGGTCTTGAACTCCTGACCTCTTGATCCACCCGCCTACTCCCAAAGTGCTGGGATTACAGGTGTGACCAAGCTATCGCATCCAGCCAGTACTTACTTTTAAACACATAAATTAAAAAGAAACTATGCAGCAATTCAACAGTAGGACTAAAGATGGCAGGTATAAATCATTGAACCCGAAACAGAATGTTTATTTTTGGTGTATTTTCCAGGATAAAAATTAGGGAGGGGAAAGTATTCTGTGAGAAAAAATTCAACATAATTGGGTCTTTGAATAAGGCTGTTATTAATTATGGCAAAAAAACATAAGAGGCTTGGTTACAAAAATACAAAAAAACAAAAAGGAGCTTATCATAAAGGCGTTTACTTCTAAGGCAAGCCCACCGCATGCATCTGTGCAACATAATAGTGGGATCTAATGTGTACATTTAAAGAAAATGTCCTAGAAACAGTAAAACGAATGTGAGTGGTTCCCAAAGGACAGAGCAAGTAAAATCTATGCTTCCTACTTTCAAGATTGGCAGATCCAACAATGAGAATCTGGAGGAAAACGAAATTGGCATAAAGTGTCATCATTTCTTTAAGAAACTTCTGAGAAATCAATCTGTTGGTTTGCCAGCAACCTTTGAAGATTCCATTTATTCAAAGTATCCTACACTCTACAGATTCTTCTCTGTAATTATAGTAATTAAACTTAGGTAGACTATGTGGTATCCAAAAACAGTGGAAACTTCTTAAAGCCAGAATACATTTCTTCTCTTGTTTTTGTTCTATTAAAGGCTTCCAAAAGAACAACAAAGATCAGGAAAACAGAGAAGTTCAGAATGAATGTGCTGTAAATTCCACTATCTGACCATAACTCAGAAAATGCTGGGACTCCGAATTTTAGATTCCTAATCTTAAGATTTCTCCCCTGCAAAAGGCTGTAAAACCATTTCCTATACCCATATAATGTTAACTCGGTGACACTTCCTTATTTCCCTAACTGAAATAATATCCTTCCTTTTTGGTGTTATTTCAAACACAACCATGAACTACTTTGGAGGAAGTGGGTGTATCACTCCTGGGGTTTTGAGAGATGTTTCCATAAAAGCAAAAGCAACAACAAAAAAAAACCCACACAACCAAAATGATTCTATTTTATTCTCTCATAAATAGAATTGGATTTTAAAAAGCTAACCACTGTTATACATATGTGGCATATATATGGGGACTGCAAAAGCCAGACGACTAGCAAAAATACGTAACCCATTTTTGCTCCAAAGTTAGCTAGGATCTGTGGGGAAGTAAACAATAGCTTTCGAGCCCCTGAATGTGGTGTCACTCAAAAATTAAAGAGGAATCGCACTATGTACATTTAATTTAACAAGTCAAATTACTGTATATGGTGGCCAAAGGAAAAGAAAAAAAAGAGGCCAGCATGGTGGCTCACACCTGTAATACCAGCACTTTGGGAGGCCAACGTGGGTGAATTACAAGGTCAGGAGTTCAAGACCAGCCTAGCCAACATGGTGAAGCCCAGTCTCTACTAAAAATACAAAAAATTACCTGGGCGTAGTGGCGGGCACCTGTAATCCCAGTTACTCAGGAGGCTGAGGCCGGAGAATCCCTTGAACCTGGGAGGCAGAGGCTGCAGTGAGCTTAGATGGCGCCACTGCACTCCAGCCGGGGCAACAGAGTGAGACTCTGTCTCAAAAACAAAAAAAGATAAAATAGCAACTTAAATAATACCAACGGGATGAGGGCAATGTCTCATGCCTGTAATCCCAGCACTTTGAGAGGCTGAGGCTAGGGGATCACTTGAGCCCAGGAGTTCGGGACAAGCCTGGGCAACAAAGTGAGACCCCATCTCTACAGAAAGTACAAAAGCTTAGCCAGGCATGGTGGTGTGTGCCCGTAGTCCCAGCTACTCAGGAGACTGAGCTGGGAGGATCACTTGAGCCCCAGGAAGTCGAGGCTGCAGCAGTGAGCTGTTATTAGGCCACTGCATTCCAGCAGCAGCAACTGAACACCACCATGTCTCAAAAAAAACCATCATAACAGCAATTCTGTCTGCCACTCTCCACTTTGTAAGCACATGCTCCAAAAGGAGCCTAAGATAAGAAATCACAAACACACCGTTCCCTTGGTTTGTCTTCCACCTTTTAAGCCTCCTCAGTGCAAGTATCTCACAGAGCATCACAACTGTATGCCTTTCAAATATGCTTATTTGCACAACACAGCTCCTAAAGATAACCTAACTACTTTATCTGGGGTACAACCAAAGCAACAGTATTAAGTTTCAAACTGAAGGAAAAACCGTCCAAGATGTAGTCAGAAACACGATGCTAATCTCAAATTTGCACCTTCCTAAGGAATGTTTAAGGATTTTTATCACATACAATGTTTGCCTCACAGGCTGACTTAAAAAGTCGATTCCCACATGAGCCACACAGGAAACTGTGCAAGAGGGAAAGGTTTTCACAAATACACACACACCCCTATGAATTACTGAAATCCGTGCCCTGTGCTGACCTGCAGTGCAATATGTTCAGATCGCTCCCGTTGACCTACAGTGTAAACTTTCTCCAAAACATATAGCTCCTTATTTACACACGAAAGCTTTGAAGGGCAACTAATGATAACGCCACCGGAAAGTTTTCTCTGCAAGTAATCAAGGTCTTGCTCGGGAAAAGAAATGTTGAGTCTGATTTTGTTTGTTTAAGCCCAAGTGTACAAGGAAACAGTAAACATCACTTCCCTATTCTAGAGGACTGAACAAAGATTTTGCCGTCTGTAGATGAGACAGAAAAGTAAGTGGCACGTTTGAAGAAATTACAGCGCTTAAGAGGGTCCTCTCCAAACTAGGCTGCCACCATCCTCCGACTCTCCCCTACCCCAAACACTGTCTCAAGGCACTGCCCTGAACTGAACCGCAGTTCAAACTTCTTAAAAGTACCCTAATGGTACTTTTAAGTTGGCTCCTCCACTCATAAAGCAATAGAACGGCAAGAAAAAGTTGCGGGACCGCAAGAACTAAGGAGGAGGCGGCGAGTTAGAAGGGGGAGGCCAGCAGGGTTCCAAATTCAGGTCCTCTCCGCGACTCAGTCTCCCATCATCATTCTCTTCCCGTTTATCACCACCTTTCTACTTCAAACCACACTCAGTCCTCCTCCTTCTGACACTCCATTTTTCTTTGTTTTGCTTGGTAAAGCAATGTTAAAATTATGGGCCTTAGGACTAAAAGAACTAAGTTCGAAGCCAGGCCAGGCAAGGCCACGTAGTAGTTGTATGTTCTTGCATAAGCCACTTAACCTATTTCGTGCCTCAGTTTTCCTATCTCGTAAAGTGGGTTTGATAATAGTATGCACCGCGGAGAACTGGAATACAAGTTAAAATGAAGCATATGAGGTGCTTTGTAAAGTCCGCGAACATATCACTCGAATATTATCGTGAGGCGGTAGCCATTATTATTACTACTCTTTGCTGGACTTCCTCTCCTCCTCACACACCCTGTCCCTTACACATGCCCCCCACTCCCCGTCCCCCTACAGACCCCCGATGGTCTCTCACTCTTTCATCTCACGCTCCACTTTCCAGTAAGCGTAGGCCCGCTTACCGTGACTGGCAGGGCACGCGAAGCGCTGGCTGGCTGGCGAACTGGCGGGCCGAATCCCCGACGGCGGCGGCGGCGGTCCCTGACCCAAAGCTCTCCTCTCCTCTACCCCGGATCCGCTCCTAGAACCGAACGAACCAGTGAGATGGGCGCCCCCGTGCCCAGAGCGGCCTTACGTACCTTCCACCAAACAACGGGACGTCACCACTCTACCCAGTCGATCCGCCCGACTCGCCTGCTCTCTAGAGTCACTGCAAACGCGCGCGCGCCTAGTCATGCCCGCTCCTCCCCCTTTGCGCGCCCCTGAGACTCCGTGCGTGTTCGCTCTGCCAGTGAGCTCGCGGGAAGCAGCGCGCAGCCGCAGAACCAACAGGACACCGAATAGGTGGGGCGCGGCGGCCTCGAAGCACGCTTGCGGAAGACCGCCCTCCCGCGGCTCTCTTCGCGAGATTCGTTGCGCCCGCTCAATTTAACCAAGATCCCTACTCCTCCATTTTGGTCCTCTTTCCGCGGGAACAAGGAAGGGGCGTGGTCTAGAACTAGGCCCCCACCGTGGGCGCGGCCTGGAAAAATCCAAAGGCTGAGGAAATGGCAATGCCCTTCCGAACAAACCCCCCGAATTGCGACGCCCCCCTCCTCCTGGCTTTGAAGGACCGCTAAAATCGTTGGCAGGAAGGGATTTGTGGCGAGGCTGACCGGGAAAGAGGCTGTCCTGGCTTTCGGTTCGAATGGGGCCCCCTAGATTCCTCACTTACAAAGCATCTATATATCTTACGATTCCTTTCTGGCAGTTAGGGGTGGGGCGGCTCCCCAAAGCCGAGTTTGGGTGACGTCCGCCAAGGCCCGCCTCCCTCCCGGCCTTACCGAGCCGGCGAGGAGCGTTGCCATAACAACCGGCCCGCCAGGGCCTGCTGAAGTTACAAAGAGGATGGCGCCTCCCGTGGACACAGCGCCTAGCCAGCGAAGGCGTAACCCGGCTCCAAAACCTTTGCGGACGCGCCAGGGGTTTGCCGGATTTTAGTGTGGAGACCCACGGGCTCAGGCCTCGCCCAGGAGCTACTGAGGCCCCTCTGCCAGCCACTTGGTTCCCCTTTAATCCTGCTTGAAGAGAGGGCTCTTGGCTGGCGCCCGGCCTGTGCAACCTGTGACCAGATGGGACGCGCCGCTGCCTCGTGTTCTCTGCGGTGGGACGGAAGACAAAGCGCCGGCTTCCTGTACACAGCGTCCGCGGCGGGCCGCCCTCAGCCACTCTAGCCAGCGCTCCGCCCTTGTTCCCGAGAGGACGTGGGGGCGGCCCTAATCAGAGTTCTAGTCCTTTTCCCAGATGCTTGTATTTGAGGGGCTGTTTGAAAGCGAACAGCAAATGTACCCCTAGTGAACGAGAGAGAGGTTCCTACTATTATTCACTTTGCACTTTTAAACATTTCCCCCTCAGGGGATTCTCCAAAATCCTCCTTCCTGTTCCTAGGCTGAAAGCCAACTGGCCGTGAGCGGCAATTTCAAACAGGATTCCGAAAGCTATTCTCCAGGGAGGTGAACTCCTAGCTACAGCCTCCAGGGTTAAGAGCATCAAATGAGCTTTCTGAACTCTGGTCCGCCTCTTCTCCCCTCCAAATGAGTGTCTAGCTCCTTATCTACTAAATAAGAATACGAATGGGCTTGTGAAGATTAAATAGTTAATTGGAAAAACATCCCGCACCAAGAAAGATATAAAAGAGCGTTCAATAAATAGGATGTCTCAGTTTGCTTTCTCTAAAACAGTCGAACCAGTGATTAGGTTGAGGAACACGCTGATGGAGAACACAAGCTTCCCCCTTCCACCAGTCAGTTCTGTGGGTTTCTATCGTGCTTTCACCCAATTGTAATTAGGAGAGGGTGGCGCTGACAGGCAGGCAGTAGTCACATGAAAAGCGGCCTCCCCAATCCTTTCTTGGAATTTTGTTTTTTCCTGTGGCACTGGGCCTGGGGTGTGCGCTGAAACAAAGAGGAAACACCGTCTCCAGCCCCAGCACCACCCCTCACCCAGAAGTGGGTGTTCGTTTCTCAAATTATTGAAGATAAATATAAAGCAAACACAGATGGATTGTATTTTAGGAGGGGTTGGAGTGTTCCGTTTTAACAATGGTTATGATGCTGTACTCATGGATATTGCAAAATTAGACTAATTTTCCAGAAGTCACTGCTTCCCAGTCAGAAGCAAGCCCCAAATGAATGAGAGGGTAGTTGGAAAAGAATATATTCAGTGATATCATTTCATATTTGAGAAGAAAACTCCATTGCTATTTGAGATGAGGGTCTTGAAACGCTGTCCAGGCTGTCTTGAATCCCTGGACACAGAGGCTCAAGTAATCCTCCTCACTCGGTCTCCTGAGTACCTGGGATTACAGGTGCATGCCCCTGCTCCTGGCCCCTATTGTTTTTGAGCTGCAAACTATAGAAAGGTGCGAACAAATCTCAGTTGGGAGAGTATAAGTTTAAGAAAATTGAGAAACACTAGTTATAAAATGGGACCCCTTAAGAACCACACAGCTGATGTCTGATAACAGGAAGGCCAATCAAACCTTCCCATTATTCCTATTCCATGTAAATGTAATAGGATGCATTTCTTAAAAGTATAATATGTTGGCCGGGCGTGGTGGCTCACGCCTGTAATCCTACCCTTTGGGAGGCCGAGGCAGGCAGTTCACGAGGTCAGAGATCAAGACCATCCTGGCTAACACGATGAAATCCCGTCTCTACCAAAAATACAAAAAATTAGCCGGGCATGGTGGCCCGGGCCTATAGTCCCAGCTACTCAAGAGGCTGAGGCAGGAGAATCACTTGAACCCGGGAGGTGTATGTTGCAGTATTACACCACTGCACTGCTGCCTGGATGGCAGAGCGAAATCTTGATCTCAAAAAACATGAAAAAAAAAAAAAAGTATAATATGTCTGTCTAGGAAGATGAAGTCTAAAATATACATTTGGGTTGAAATATTTTTTAAATGGGGAGGAAGGTAAATGCCTTCAAGTTAGTTCCACAATGTCACCCTCTGTGCCCACATCTCATAAACCTGACACACCTAGATGCCTGTCAATTGATTGCATTTTTAAAGTTTTTTCTCCCCTGAGGCATAGGCAATGTCTGTCACTTTGTATAATGCTATCTTTTATAGTATTTAAGTTCAACTGAACAATGCACCCAATTGGCTTTATTTCTTTTTTCTTTTTTGAGACGGTTTCACCCTGTCACCTAGGCTGGAGTACAGTGATTCGATCTTGGCTCACTGCAACCTCCGCCTCCCAGGTTCAAGCAATTCTTGTGCCTCAGCCTCCCGCGTAGCAGGGACTATAGGCGTAGGCCACCATGCCGGCTAATTTTTGTATTTTTTGGTAGAGACAAGATTTTACCATGTTGGCTAGGCTGGTCTCAAACTCCTGACCTCAAGTGATCTGCCCACCTAGGCCTCCCAAAGTGCTGGGATTACAGGCATGAGCCACCGCACCTGGCCTATTTCTTTCATTTTTTTTCAGTTGAGATTAACTTCATGCTTTTGAAATTATGTTGTCCCTGCTTTTCCTACATAATAGAAAAATCTTCTGGCTCTTAGAGATTATCAACAGATCATCAAATTCCCCTAAATATAGATCAAGGCTCATGTTTCATGACTAAGCATTTGAGTATAATTTTGATTATAACCAAAAAATCTTTCTGATCTCTAATGATTTCAGGTTTCTGAAGCCATCTGCGGAGATTGCAGTGGGCTGAGATTGTGCCATTGTGGTGGCTCACACTTGTAATCCCAGCACTTTGGGAGGCCAAGGCAGTCAGAAAAAAAAAAAAGAGATTACTTTGACTTCAATGAACATAGAATAAAGGCAGAGACTTTTTTTTTTTTTTGAGTCAGAGTCTAGCTCTGTCACCCAGGCTGGAGTGCAGTGGCACTGTCTCGGCTCACTATAAACTTCACCTCCCAGGTTCAAGGAATTCTCCTGCCTCAGGCTCCCAAGTGGCTCAGACAGTGCTCGCCACCACACCCAGCTAATTTTTGTATTTTTAGTAGAGACAGGGTTTCACCATGTTGACCAGGCTGGTCTTGAACTCCTGACCTTGTGATCCGTCCATCTCAGCTTCCCAAAGTGCTGGGATTACAGGTGTAAGCCACTGCACCTGGCCTTTTAAAAAAAAATTACACTAAATTTGATAAGATAGCTAGTGTCTCCTAGGCATAGTAAATATGTGGCCTATGGAAATACTAGGTGACAATTTAGATAATTTACTAGGTGATTCTGACTGAGAATGAGTTACCACTACATCCTTGGATTACTTTCATTGTGAAAATGTTCAAGGCTCCTAACTGAACACTCATTACTTTACAAAGAAGAAAGTTGGGCCGGGCGCGGTGGCTCACGCCTCTAATCCCAGCACTTTGGGAGGCCGAGGCGGGTGAATCATGAGGTCAAGAGATCGAGACCATCCTGGTCAACAAGGTGAAACCCCCGTCTCTACTAAAAATACAAAAATTAGCTGGGCATGGTGGTGTGCACCTGTAGTCCCAGCTACTTGGGAGGCTGAGGCAGGAGAATTGCTTGAACCCAGAAGGCGGAGGTTGCAGTGAGCCAAGATTGCGCCATTGCACTCCAGTCTGGGTAAGAACAGCGAAACTCCATCTCAAAAAAAAAAGAAAGAAGAAAGTTGATCTTTGCCTATACATAGCTAAGCAGATGTAAATTTAGGCCAATGGAAAGAGAGCAGATAAGGACACTAATACAGGTAAGAGTAAAACTTATCCTTTGGGGTTCTCTAGGCAGTTCTAAAACACCCTCTTCCGTGCTCTGTGTGCATGCAACAGACCCATAGTCTCTGATGTTACAGCCAAATCTCAAAAACCTAATTTTTTTTATATGACCAACATAGAAAATCTTCTTATGAACTTCTGTAACATTCCATAATGTCCTAGGAGCAGTGGGACCCCAAAGGCTTCAGAATTTCTCTGAAGTTTCCATCCAGATGTGTGTTTGGGGTGGGGGATAAGAAATTCCAAAGAAATTGATAAATAAGATTCTAAATCTCATTCCCAGATCATCAGATGTTAGAACTTGGAGGGGCCTAAGAGATCTATTAAGCCACTTCACTCATTTTACAGATGAGGAAACTGAGGCTCAGAGAGGCAGAGGTCACACAGCTGGTGGGTGGCGGTACTGTTTGACCTTAGACCTGCATTCTCCCAGGCTCTTAAGGTCTCCCCTCTCTCCTTAAGGTATCTCCAGGCTCTTAAGGTCTCTCCTGAAGATCAACCAGAAGTGCTGTCTTACACAGCCTTGAAATAAGAAAGCTGAGCAATTCCCTAAAGGTAGGATGGAGAGGCTGGGCTCAGTGGCTCACACCTGTAATCCCAGCACTTTGGGAGGCTGAGAAGGGCAGATCACCTGAAGTTAGGAGTTCAAAACCAGCCTAGCCAACATGGTGGGCGCCTGTAATCCCAGCTACTCAGGAGGCTGAGGCGGGAGTATCTCTTGAACCCAGGAGGCAGAGGTTGCAGTGGGCTGAGATTGTGCCATTGCACTCCAGCCTAAGCTACAGAGCCAGACTCTGTAGGATGGAGAAAAAACTCAGGAAGACTGGAGAGCTTCTTTCTAGAGAGAATCTCTTCTCTATAAGGCTTGCCCAGCAATCAAATATTTACTGAAGACCAGTGTTATTAGTGCCAGAGTTATTACTGCCGTGGAAATACATAAAGACCCTATATGAAATGATTACAGGGAAAGAATACCTGCTACTCCAGGGAGTGTTGACCACTTAAGCTAAAAAAGTTCAAGAAGAAAAGAACTAGACTGGGCACAATGGCTCACACCTGTATTCTTAGCACTCTGGTAGGCAAATGCACTTTGGGAGGCTGTGGCAGGAGGATCACTTAAGGCCAGGATTTTGGGATCAGGCTGGACAACATAGCAACACCCCATCTCTTAAAGAGAGAGAAGGAGAGAGGGAGAAAAGAGAGAGAGAAAGAGAAGAACTGGAGGCAGAATACTGGACAGGAACAGGAAGGAAATTCTGGGTGAGAGGATTAGCATAAGCAAAGATATGAACATTGAGAAAATAGGAAATAGGAAAAAAAGTTTCTCCACATCATAGTAAGTGAACAATAAAGGTTTGCACATGATAGTCATGCTCGGCATTAGAAAGTAGGAAGGAGGCCAGACAGAGTCCATCATACCTGTAATCCAGCACTTTGGGAGACTAAGGCGGGAGGACTGCTTGAGTAAAGAGTTTGAGGGGAAACGATCCAAGATGGCCGATCGCTAACATCCCGGGATTGCAGCTCTCAGGGAAGGCGCGGAGAACTAGAGGACGCCACACTTTCAGACAAATTCTGGTCGCTCACGGAGCAGGAGATCCCCCAGTGGAGGAAACACACAGGTGGCCAGTGCGACTCTCGTGGCCGGTGCAGCGGTTCCGCCGGCACCTTGGCGCGGCAGCCCGGGTCCCCAGCAGGACACCAGAGCCCAGCAGCGGCCGGCACCTAGGCGCGGGAGCGCTCGGCGCAGAGTAAACAGGACCGGTTCCCCTTCTGACCGAGGTTTGGAGCCCCGGGAAGGCAGAGTCGCCTACTACCGACACAAGAAGGAAGCCCGACAGGAGAATCCTGGGCAGAAAAGCACCATCAGTTTTAACGCCGCTGCTCTGGCCCTGGGAACTAACAACCTGGACGTCCACTCAAGAGACCTAATCTGAAAGTTGGT